TAACATACAGACGGACATGTCTAGATCGACTCAGCTCGTCACCCTTCTCAAAAATATGTACGTTGCATATAACCTGACCGAATTATAATACCCACCGATAGGGCATTCGAAAGAAACACAAAATATTGTTGCATTTCACACAGCTTTTGCGCGCTTTGCGGGGTAACTGCCACCGGGTGAACGGGCTGCAATTGTGCAATTTCTATTTTGTTGCCATTTTTTAAAACGAATGTTGTGTTATTTCCGTCAAAAGAGTAATTAAACGTACAAAGCAAACGGCAATTCAACACACATGCGAGGGTGGCTCGATATACCGGCAAACAAAATACATAATGGAAATCATTTCTCCGTGAACAACCCTCGTTCTGGCACTGGCTTCTTATGGCCGGCGGACATTGCGGGGCTGTGGTCTACAGAAGACAACGAACTTGGAGGGAGCAGGGCTGGGGAGCAGTTCGACGGAAGCCTGTGCGCAAAACATTGTAAATAAAATCCAGGGGCGAGAAAGAGAGCGTAGTATTGTGTCAGAGCGAGAGCAGTAACGCAGCAAAGTCTGGGCAGGATTCGGTTGAGCGTGTGTAAGGGTATGCACTGTGTCTGCCATTCTGACCTGCGGGTGCTTTTGTGTTAATTGCGGTTGCATTTAATTACAGCTCGTTGCATTTGCCGCATGTCCGACTGTCTGACCACCTGCAGGAGGGCGGGAAGGCGGGCGATCGGGCAGGACTAGAAGCCCAACTCACATTCCTGCTGCGCCACGTGGCCCACTCGCCGCAAAGCTAAGGTTTTTAATTAAAGCTAAAAGAATTCGACACTGGCTGGCCTGGCTGCTGCTTGACTTTTGACCTGGCCTTGTTCATGTGGGCGACCCCCCCTCACGACTATTGGCTTGTGTGCGCAGGCGGCAATAATTAGCAGACCAAACTGCACGGAGGGGTGTACAGTCTACAGTGTACAGCCACCCAGATGACATACACAGCCCGCAACATGATTTGCATAAGCCACACACAGGGGCCACGCTAGATTACGCATACGCCGCGTTGCACAAACAAGGCTGCGAGCTCTGCTCGAGCCACTCAATTATGTGTATTGGTATTAGCATAAGTATTTAATGGTAAACGTTAGATGGCCCCAGCTTAAGCCAGCTGTCCTGAAAATGACTTGATAATGTCCACAATGCTGACATAGGTGCCCACCATGCCGCCAAAAAGGCCAAACAACAGCAACAGCAAGTTGACAACAAGCCTATAACCAGCTGGTCCATAGCCCGTCTCGTATTGCACACAGATTTGCAGTAGCGCCGGAAAGATGAGACCCAATACCGATAGGCAAAAGGAGCCAACGAGCGACAGAAATAGCGACAGATCCGGTATGGCAACGGCGCAACCAACTGAAATAGCAAATATATCAATCTATTGCCACCATTTGCGACGTTTGCCATGCGACTTACAGGTGAGCAGCACAATCAGCGCCCGAAAGCACAGCTCGTAGAACGTATGCTTTTTGGTATTCTCAAAACGTTTGCTCAGATACTTGGTCCATAGAATGTGCGCCGTGACATAACCCTGCAGCGCATAGGATATATACGTGGTGATGGCAAAGAAGATTTTCACCACCTGAGCGAGACTGCAAAACAGCAACAATAAAACTTTGTTATACGAGATATAGTTTGCAATACTTACATTTCCGTCTGTGGTATATTCAGCGTAACACTGCCCTTTGCTTCTGTACCGTACTTCCAGTAGCCGAAGAAGCCGAGAAACACATACAGACTCAAGACGATGGACATGCCCCAGTTCATGATGCCGCAGGGTTGCACATAGGCGCGAGGCGTCGCCATGTTCTCCTCTATGGCCAAAATCTATTTGAATAACAGAATTTAGCCAATTGTTGCTCTCTGATTAATGCAGTTTATCAACTTACCACGCCCACTGCCTCCAGAGCAAACAGCACGGTGCCAAAGAAGGTGGGCAGCTTGGAATAATGCACAAAGGCATCGCGTTCACTCAGCGGCGGTAAATCCACTAATATATAATACAAGACAATGCCAAAGCCTGGAATAAAGGTAAAGCATATAATTGAGATATTCACGGAGTGGCCACTGCTGGGCAGACTTACCCACAAACAGCAACAAATTGGCAGCACTGGAGAATGGCGCCAGCAGCTTCAAATTGCGTATGCTGAATATCAACAAAAGCGGAACTATGAGGAGGCACATGTGCAGGCGCACATCCCACTCAACCAGATACTCATCCACAAGCTGCTTTATGCTCTCCGCTATGAATACCACATAGACACAGCAGATGCCAAAGTGATAGAAGGCCAAAAAGCCATCCACAAATGGCCTGAAAAAAGCAAACATATAAGTGCAATATTTGACTTGGGCTGCGCAAACTTACGCGGCAATCGGCGCTAGGCAACGCAGGCAAGGAGGACCCTGCTGCAGGCCCAGCTTCATGGCCTCCGAGAAGCTGACATAAGGCACACGCTGCCGCTTGCATAGGATGTACATGCAGTCAATCTGCGATTGGCAAGAAATTAGTTGAAAACCTGCAAATATGAAACTTCTGCTCGACTTACCAAGATGTGCAGGCAGTATAAGGCCAGCAGACCTATAATGACTGTGAATACGAGTCCATTGACGTAGCCCGCATGCGCGAAGGCGCTGGGCATGGCCAGCACGCCGGTGCCTATGGAAGCCTTCAGGAAGTGTGCAAATGTTTGCCAGTTGCTAAAAGAGTAAACATTTTTTCAATTTCAACTTAAACAAAACCAGATGTTCATTAAACAAATCCAGCTTAAAGTAATAATAACTGTTGAGGTAGATCCAGCCCAAAGTCTCAAAAGCTTTTCCAACAAAGGTTGCATTATCTAAGAGATCAAATATCCAATCCGCATTTCTTTAGCATTTGGAGAATACTTGAAAGGCAGGCAGTTGGTTTGAACTGTGAACCGAACCACCGCTAGGTTTTTTTTCAGTTAGCACTCATTACCCGATACTTACTTGGTTGGGTTCTTGACACTCCGATGCATATGTGGATCGTAGTCATCTTTGGGATCAATTGTTGCCTTGGCAGTGGTGATCACAGTTTCATTATTGATATGGCTCCTAAGATAAGGCAAATTATATCAATGAAATAAGTGATTTTTACAATGCTGATTTCGAATCGCCATTAAGCGCTGTTCTGACAGCATTTATTAGCTGATAAATGTGCACCAAGGCACAAAAACAATTGTAAATGTTTATAAGCACAATAAAAATGGGTAATTTTTCATAGAGCTATCATTAGTGTCTTTTAAATGTCGTTGATCCAACAACAATTTTTTTCAAAAAAAAACAATATATACTATAAACATTATTTTGGAAAAAAAAACCGAAAGCTACGCTCTCTGACTTCATTTATGAACGTTGTTTTGTGTCTTCGTTGTTTACCCATCAGTTAGCTAAGAGTTTATGACTGAAAATTCTGAGTTAGATTGTCTGATTTACTCACTGCATTGTCAGGCGAAGGTAGCGACAGATTATTTGTTAAAGCTACTCGACAAAAACATAAATCGTTTATCACACACGCGGCTATTAAGATAAAAAGATACAATCTACACTCGACTTATGGCTAGGATTTACGTCTAAAATATTTCTGGGGTAGCTATGTTAACGGCACAACCAAACCAACTGCCCAACGCGCAGCTACTAAATTAACCAGGCACGTCGAATTAGCTCAACAGCCCCGAAACAAATGGAACAAGTTAGAAAAGAAATAAAAACAAAAATCTTGCAAAATCACTTTGCGAATATTTCGGTAAACAATACAAAGAGCGCAAAAAATGCATTTATATATATATATTAAATATATATATAAACGTATAAAAAAGTCAAAAACATGTCATACTTGTTAATCAAGTTAATTTCAGAATATTAACTTAAGATCGTTTCAAAGTGCTTTCGCCGAATAACCGCGATTAAAGCTTTGCACGACCAAAACTTGTGCGATTTAATATGACCTTAGCCAAGTCAGCAACCAAGCTAAGAAACTTAACGCGTAGAACTTGCTGCGCTCCTATATTTAAAATAAAGAATGAATTTATTGGAAAACTTAACGGATTTTTGAGTATTTTTAAACTCGTTCTCCAAGTGAATGGAGTGTATGCGTTCGAGATTTAAAAATGTGGAGTGTATATGTATTTGTCGTGTATAGCGCATTAGATAAAGTATTCAGATTACATGGCTGCGTTTCTCTGGGAGCTTGGTGAATTATAATTCAGCTACTAACCGTTTTAAGCTGTGCCTTGCATGTCACCGTGTATTTTTCTTTAAATTAAATTCTTACCTGATTTCTAGGTTTTCCTTCAAACTCTTTCTTTATGCTAAGAGCATAAAAACGGCTGATAAAGGCCGGATTGATAAGAAGCAACAACTTGCCCCGCCCACCGCCTCCAGAGAGATCGGTTGCCATGGTTGCCAACTTGGATCGTAGTCTATATGAAAATATGGATAGTGGTCGCCATTAGGCCTATAAAAACCATATATTAAATTTTATAATTGAAATCAATAACCGATTGCAAACTTCAAATTTATGGTCTTATTGACTCTACTTAACCAAACAGTTTTTAAAACTCATGAATTTGTTAAGGAATGAAAATTTAAATTAAAATATTTTATAATAAAAAACAAAAAATTAAATTTTAGGAAATTAATATATTTACAGCTTAATCACACGCTAATTTTAATGGCCCTTAGCCAAGACAACATCCAACTGCTTACTAGGACGCTACAACCTCACCGCTGCCACACTTAAGGCGCAGTGCTGCCAACTCGCTTGGAGCTTTCAAACGATCCATTTGCTGGCGCACACATTTTTAGAAAGCTTTCTCTTGTCGCCTCTTTTTCAGTGCTGCCCACACAAAGTTGATAGCCCATTATTTACACAAGCCATTTTTTTGTTATTTTTATTTGTTGCCTTGCCGCTTATTCTCCATTCAAAAGCTGTTCATAACAGACGTGGATTTCGCTCGTCTCTCTCTTCGAGTTGTTGCTCGCGTGAAAATAGCTGACCGGCGGGTAGAGAAAATGCTAAATTAGTTTAATATCTAGTATAATAATACACTATACGTTATTTAATGTGTTTTATGTGCAATTTTATTCGAATTTAAACGCAATTAAAAACTGACAACAACACGCTTAACCGGTTTTTTATACAAATTTTCCCAATGTTTTTACGTGAAGTGAAACGTTCGGTGACAAATGATTAAAACAAATTCATCTTAACTTATATTTCATTTCTACAAATAACGTGTGATATTTATATTTGTGATGCAGTTGGTGTGTATTTATTTGCTTGGCATGAAATATCAATAAATAAATAGATAAAAGCCCAAGCGCAGCGCGCAAAAGTAAACAACACTTAATACTAGCAACAACAACAAAAAAAGAGAATACTGTCAAATAAGAATAAAACAAACGCATATTATAACAATAATAAAATCGCCAGCGCAAACGCCAACCAAGTAAACCCAGCCAACTATGGTTTACTCCATAAAGGTAAGCAACTGATGCGTTTTCATCCAAAACTTACCCCTTCCCCCCCCCCCCCCCTTGACTACCCACACGTATTGCGATTTTGGGCTAAACTTTTGCCATCAAATGATGGCTGCCAAACTTGTTTTAGACTTTTACTCGCTGTTTGTAGGGCCCATCGAATGAAATTCATGAATTTAGATCTATGTGGCTTTCAGTGTACTCTTTTTTTTACATAGTATACTCATGATAGAGCTATGCCATATGAGATATATCAAAAAGCTGTTTGCAATGATTTATTCAACCCCATTTTAATTACCCACTCGCCGCTCTCCGTAGCTAGACTCTATATAGAGCTTGTAGCGTGACGTATGCAGGGCTCTGATAATCTGAATGATTGACACTGTGTAAGCTTTACTGCAATTATCGCCCGATGGATTATCATCTAGCTATATCAATAACACTGACAACGACATTATTGCGTTGCTTTATCATGGAGTAGTCATCAAATTATTGTATTTAAGTAGCAGCCAGGCACTACACGCCATCATATCTTTTAAGTACTATTACAACACTGTGTAAACTAACTCAAATACAAATATAAAATTAAAAAAAGCAAAGTTATTTTACATAAGTATATAAATAATGGCGCGTATCACCCGGCTTTGCACAGGCCATAAAATATGCGCATACCAACCTTTTTCCACAAATTTTCCACACTGGCGGGTGGAATTATTCAAAACCTCATCTTGGCGTGCATTTACATTACATAAGATAACTACGGCTGCAATTTCCTTTCTAACGACTGATCACCAATCAATCAACCAGTCAATCAATCGTAGCTAGAACAGCTCTTCCAAAACGTAACATGCTTTTTTAATAAGAGCTAATATAATAATATAACTCGTAAGGACAGGTCGCAAGTAGACTATTTAATTGCATATTCCAAAATAATTATACTAATCGTACGTACCATTATAGAAAACGTGTTCTCTATTATTCAATTTTGTTGTCATTTTTCATTTTTTTCGATCCGTTTCAATTGGGATTTACGTCATCGCGAGCTTAGAGCCTGCGTGGCTTGGGTGTTTGAGCGTCGGACAAACAAGCGAGAAGTCGCCGGCTCAAATCCAATTCGACTTTTGTATTTGTTAACTTAACTTGTTAAGAGTAGTGGAATGAAATGTAATGTGTCGTATGTGTATTCTTTGGGAGGCCCCAGTCGGGTAATTTCTTCTAGTATTAAAATATTATTCTCCTATATTTAACAATTTATGGGCGTAGCTCATCGGAACACTAGACGTTAGAGACTATATAAAATACTATAACTTAATGGCACACGTAATGATAAGCCTCAAACATTTCATAAGCTACCAAGCGCCTATCTCAAGTCTCGCTGATAGCGATAAGTTATTATTATTATTATTGTCGAGCACACAAGAAACCGAATTCTAACTAAGGTTAGTGTCAAGCCAAACATGTTAGTGGTAAGAAGTGTATACCATCTGAAATTATTTCGTATACCTTCGTATATATTACGCCTAATATTATAATGTGCCATGTCTTATATGAATCACTTGCCCATCGGGTGGGTAGACGGTAACGGCGGCGACGATTACCACGTCTTATCAGAAAAGCTAGTCCGTCTATTTTTGGTACAATAACAAACAAATAAAATAGCAACAATTTAATTGCTGTTGTTTCTCTATGGTGTGACAGAGAGAGTGCAAAAAGTTCAGATCAATAGAAAACAATTTGAAATGTTAATTTCATTAGTTAACAACTATTTGAGTAGCCATCAATTTTTCGCCTATTCTCTTCGCAGCGCGAGCTTGTTGAGTATTTAATATGAAACCAATCTTCATATCCATTCCAGAACAGCGAAACTGGTGAGTTTGAGTATTTCTATACCGATTCCGCACGCGTCAAGCAGCCCAAATACGATGAGGAGACCGGCGAACCCGTCCACGATCAGATGAAAGTGCGCTATCGCAAGCATGGAAATTTTCACGTACCGAAGCAATATTTGCGTGGCACCATCTGTGACGAGGTGGACACAATGTTGGCCAACAAACATCACGGGGACTGGAACATGTCGGCCAAGCATGTTATTGGCAATAGCGCCATAAAGAATGTGGACAAGCTCAAGAAAATAACGCCCGGCTATGAGCGGGAGGATTACATCCAAATGGATGGCGTCAGTAGCGTAAGTTGGCTGCAGAGCTTCACAGTTCCATCAATATAAACTAACATTTCGATTATATTCCCACTTATATAGAACATCATACTGGGCTATGAGCGCAACTCCTTCCTGCTCTTCCTAATTCCCACATTGTTCTGCTGGAACTTCTTTCTGTTGGCTCTGATGTCCATTTTGGAGATCAGTCTACACATGCTGTCCCACTATAAGAACTCCCTGACCATGCAGAAGAACATCTATTTCCGCAGCCCCCTACACGTGCTCTCCTCACAGTTCTGCGCCATCTGTCGCAACGAGTCCGGCAGCAAATACAATCGCACCTTCGAAATTCTCAACGAACAGATGCGCCTGGCGCACCGATCCGATGCACTTAAGAACATGGCCAAGGCCATGGGCTGAGCTCCAGACACAAAAATTACAGCAATTACAAAATCAGCTTTACACTTTAATGGTAATAAAAACGACTATTGGTTCACGTTTAATAATAATAAATGCACAAATACTTATTTTCCTGAGGTAGATGCGTTGTGTACCTGAGCATTATTTCTAAATAGCCTCCTATGGAGTGTATGGACTCTAAATGGAGATCTGTCCCATCTGCTTAACGTTCGGCGAGACTGTAAACTTGGCGCCGGTGCAGGCTACAATGTCATCCACAGTGTAGCCCTCGGCAACCTCCAACAATGTCAGACCGACACCCTTCTCCACTTGAAACACTGCCTTCTCCGAGATAATCAAATCGATCACTTCCTTGCCTGTCAGCGGCAGCGAGCAGCTCTCCAGAATCTTTGGTGAGCCATCGCGTGCATTGTGCTCCATGGTAATAATTACTTTGGCGCCGGGTGCAGCCACCAGATCCATGGCGCCACCCATGCCCTTTACAAGCTTGCCCTGCAATTAAATGGAAATGCATAAGTAGATTTCCAAATAAATCCAGCTGATCATACTTACGGGTATCATCCAGTTGGCCAAATCACCTGTTGCCGACACTTCCATGGCGCCCAAAACAGTCAGGTCAACGTGTCCGCCTCGAATCATGGCAAAACTCTCATCTGAGCCAAAATAAGCAGCACCTGGTATTACAGTGACGGTCTCCTTGCCAGCGTTGATCAAATCGTGATCGACTTGATCATTGGTGGGAAACGGACCCAGGCCCAAGATGCCGTTCTCCGACTGGAGCATAACGTTCATGCCCTCCGGTATGTAGTTGGAAGAGAGCACTGGAATACCAATGCCCAGATTGGCGTACATGCCATCGCGGAACTCCAGTGCCACACGACGAGCGATCCGTTCGCGCAAGAGCTGGGCAGGTTTGGGCTCGGCAGCGGGTTTTCCGTTCTCCTTGGGCTCTGTAATCCGCAAACGCTCAATACGCTTGCTGTAGTTAGTGCCCTTGAAGATGCGCTTGACATAAATGCCAGGCACATGGATTTCGTCTGGCGAAAGGGCGCCCACAGGCACAATTTCCTCCACTTCGGCGATAGTAATCTTTGCGGCACGGCACATGGGCGAGTTGAAATTACGAGCAGATTTGTTAAATACCAGGTTGCCTAGAGGATCAGCTTTCTTTGCCTTGACGAGAGCAAAGTCTGCGAAAATGGACTCCTCCCTGACATAGTTGCGACCATTGAAGGACTGCACGGGCTTGGGGGCACTGGCAACGGCCACCTTTCCATTTTTGTCATACTTGATGGGTGCGCCGCCCTGCTGCACCAGCGTCGCGTAGCCTGTGGGCGTGAAGAAGGCGGGAATGCCAGCACCACCTGCGCGTATCTTCTCTGCCAAGGTGCCCTGGGGCGTCAATTCAATGGCCAGTTCGCCGGCCAGATACTGACGCACCAATTCCTTATTCTCGCCCACATACGAGAAAATTACCTTGGACATTTGCTTCTGCTTAATCAGCAAACCCAAGCCGAAATCATCAACGCCTGCAGATATGAAGTATCAGTTTAGGAGATTTAAAAATTACTAAAAGCTTATACAAGCCGGTTGAAAATCGAAAATCGGCAACCTTGCAATCAATTAGCAAAACCGTTATGTGATACAGTTACTGGTTCGTGAACCAGGAAACTACTCTACGCAGCCGCTAAATAGAAAGTGTCATATTTTATCTGATTTTCTTACCGCCATTGTTGGACACAGCTGTAAGATTCTTGACGCCCTTCTGCTTGAGGGCGTCAATCATCTTTTCGGGTATGCCGCATATGCCAAAGCCGCCAAAGAGTATTTTGGAGCCATCCTTAACATCGGCCACCGCATCGCTGGCCGACTCGTAGATTTTGCCCTGGCGCTGTTTACCCGAAGTCGAATAGCAGGCAATGAGCTGAAAGTGGGTGATCAGGTGCTTAAATTAATTTAATTAAGTTCCAGCGTATAATTTGCAAACTTGTTTGCCGCTATTAGAGATTGTGTGCGTGTTCTGCGTTACGTAAGGTCTGTCTATTTATCAAATTGAACACGCGTGTGAGTTGAAACGGTGCCGAAGGGGGTGAAAAGGGCAGGGGCGCTTGTTGGCGTGGGGCGATGGCAATCAAAATAGCGCTTAGCACAGCAGCAGTCAGCCAGCTAGTCAGGCAGGCCCCAAATGCTTATCAATCAATCTCAACTGCAACATTATTATTACTTTACTTTTATTTAAAGCACATTAACATGTGGTTGGAAAACACCTAAGTTCAACTAGTTTTGTTTTTGTGCCAGGTCAACAAATGGGCAGAGATTTTTCCTTTTCCGACATAAAATAGGAGTATTAATGAAAAGTATCTTGAAGGCTGTAGCTATTGTAACGTATCTACAGTTGGCATTATGTATTTATGTTTCTTTGGGTCGCTCACCTTGAGAGTTGGGTTCTTGCTGCCGATACGGTTACACGCAATAAAACTACGAAGCATTTTTTTTAATTTACCTTGACTAATATTTAACTAATAAAATTTTCTCTAAAAAAAAAAATTATTTTCCTTTCGAATTTCGCACCAAAAACCCAACCGCGATCAAACTAAAGCCAATACTAGCAGCAGTGGTTAGCCCATAACATTAACATTTTCCAAAATGTTATTAACAGCGTGCAGACACTTCTATCGATTAATTTTAAAAATATGGACAGGTACGCGATATACCGCTGCTGACAATTGCCGCAAATACAATTGAATAAACATCTTTACACTTTAATGGTAATAACAACGAATATTGTTTAACGTTCAATAACAATAAATGCACAAATATATCACCTGAGTACCGCACGAATATTTCTAAATAGCCTTCTAATCGCAACCAATTTGTGCCATTTGCTTAACATTCGGCGAGACAGTAAACTTGGCGCCGGTGCTGGCTATTATGTCATCCACGGTGTAGCCCTCGGCAAACTCCAACAATGTCATGCCGACGCCCTTTTCCACTTGAAACACTGCCTTCTCCGAGATAATCAAATCGACAACTTCTTTGCCGGTCAGGGGCAGCGAACAACTCTCCAGGATCTTTGGTGAGCCATCGCGTGCATTGTGCTCCATGGTAATAATTACTCTGGTGCTAGGTGATGCCACCAGATCCATGGCGCCGCCCATGCCCTTTACAAGCTTACCCTGCAATTGAATATAAATGCATAAGTAGACACCCAAATAAATCTAACTGATCATGCTTACGGGTATCATCCAGTTGGCCAAATCTCCTGTTGCCGACACCTCCATAGCGCCCAAAATGGTCAGGTCAACGTGTCCACCACGAATCATGGCAAAGCTGTCATCCGAGCCAAAATAAGCAGCGCCTGGTATTACAGTGACGGTCTCCTTGCCCGCGTTGATCAAATTGTGATCGACTTGATCCTTGGTGGGAAACGGACCCAGGCCCAAAATGCCGTTCTCCGACTGGAGCATAACGTTCATTCCCTTCGGTATGTAGTTGGAAGAGAGCACTGGAATGCCAATGCCCAGATTGGCGTACATGCCATCGCTGAACTCCAGCGCCACACGACGAGCGATCCGTTCGCGCAAGAGTTGGGCAGGTTTGGGCTCGGCAGCGGGTTTGCCGTTCTCCTTGGGCTCTGTAATCCGCAAACGCTCAATACGCTTGCTGTAGTTAGTGCCCTTGAAAATGCGCTTGACATAGATGCCAGGTACATGGACTTGGTCCGGCGGGATGGACCCAACTGGCACAATTTCCTCCACTTCGGCTACAGTAATCTTTGCGGCACGGCACATGGGCGCATTGAAGTTGCGCGCAGACTTGCTAAACACTAGATTGCCATACGGATCAGCTTTTTGTGCCTTGACGAAGGCAAAGTCAGCGAAAATGGACTCTTCCATGACATAGTTGCGACCATTAAAGCACTGCACGGGTTTTTCGGCGCTGGCAACCTCCACATTGCCATTTGTATCATACTTAATAGGTGCGCCGCCCTGCTGCACCAGCGTTGCATAGCCAGTGAGCGTGAAGAAGGCTGGAATGCCAGCACCACCTGCGCGTATCTTCTCCGCCAAGGTGCCCTGGGGCGTCAATTCTACGGCTAGCTCACCGCCCAGGTACTGCTGCACCAGATCATTATTTTCACCCACATATGAGCCAATTATTTTGGCCAGTTGCTTCTGCTTTATTAGCACGCCCAGTCCGCAGTCGTCAACACCTGCAGATAAGAAAGGTAGGCAATCAGAAGATTGAAAAGTACTTAAAGCGCATATCAAATTTTCAATGGGGTGGCAACCTTACAAACAATTGGCGAAACAGTTGTGTGTGTAAGTAAACAGACAGAGTTGGTTAACGATTCTAAGAACCAGTTTAAGCAGCTAATAACGATCGAGTGTCGTATTACTCTGATTTTCTTACCGCCATTGTTGGACACAGCTGTTATATCCTTGACGCCCTTCTCCTTGAGGGCATCAATCATCTTTTCGGGTATGCCGCATATGCCAAAGCCGCCAAAGAGTATTGTGGAGCCATCTTTAACATCGGCAACCGCATCGCTGGCCGACTCGTAGATTTTGCCCTGGCGCTGTTTACCCGAAGTCGAATAGCAGGCAATGAGCTGAAAGTGGGTGATCAGATGTTTAAATTACTTAAAGTTCCAGCATAAATTTGCATACTTGTTTGTCACGATTAGCGTGTATAGAGATTGTGCGCGTGTTCTATGTTATTTTTGCAAAACTTACTTTAAATGTCTATTTATTAGAATAATCGCGCGTGTGGGGGCTGAAAAGAGCAAAAGGCCAGGTTCGCGTGGGGCAATGACAATCATAATAACGCTTATCAAAGCAGCGATTCAGCCAGGCAGGCCCTAACACGCTTATCTATGAATCTCAACTGCAGCAATTTTATTAGTTTGTGTTTATTTTTGGCATATCAACAAGTTATTCGCAAACACCTGTCCTAAGACAAGTTTAATTGTTGTGGTATGTCAACAAAAAAGCCCATTTTCAGTATTTTCAGACACACAATTAAGGGTATCCATTTAAAAATGTATATTTTTTGTTGTTTTTGTAATGCATCTACAGTTGAAATTATCTATTTGCACATATACATATATCTGTAGAGTG